CGGGGCCCAAGCCCGTTTTTCCCCTCCTTCTCCTCACACAAACAGAGGGAGAGCGCGAGCGAGGGAGCGAATGAACGCCTCGCGAGCCGGCCCGCCTCCTCGGACAGTCCGGGCCGCGCGGCAAGACTTCCTTCACACCTCGCCGCCCAATGGCAGGGTGCGGAGGAAGGACGCGAGTCCCCGCCCGTCCACCTCGCCGCGTTACGTCACGTTCAATCCGACCAACCAGGAAACCGAACGGCCCCAGAGCGCGCCCTCTCCCATTGGTCCTCCGAGGAACCCTTCTGAAGTTTTGAGGGATTTCTCCTTCCGCCCATCTCACGATTGCGCTTGCGCAGAAGAGAGCGGAGACCCTCCCTCCCCTTTCCTCCTCTCGCTTCCCTTGCAACAGCTCGAAAAACCGACTCATAACCCATGCCGAGCTGGCTGTAGGATTCACTTCGCTACTGATACGTCCCGAGGAAATTCAACGTCGAAAGTTCACGTTGGGCTTAAGAACCACCGCCTAACTCCCATCGCCTATTCCTATTGGCCGATCGTCGCGTCAATTGCCGCCGCGACTCTGTGACGCAAGCACGCCGTAAGAGGTAACGAGCCGGACGAGTCGCGGGAGAGGAAGTCGCGTCGTGGTTGGCCGGCTGCTATGTCACTCAATAGAGCTACCTTGTTGACAGCTGGAAGACGGGGCGGCGGAGGCGGGGGCGAGGCAGTAGCAGCCGCTGCTGGCCTTAAAGGGACATGCACCCGGCGCGGCCGCCTTTTCACGACATGGCGGTGGCCGAGGACCCCGAGCACACGGTGAGCCGGAGGGAGGGGAGGACGCGGCGGTCCGGTTGGGGGCTTCACCTCCAGTGTGTGAGGAGGCACGCCGTCGGTGGAGGCCTGGCTGCACCACCTCGGGAGGGGGAGAACGGCGCTCTTCACATGCCCAGAGACGCACTTTCCGTTAGGCTGGCTGTCTATATTTCTTATCACTGTCGGCTGCGGGAGTATCCCCTGCATTCTCATCCTGCTCACCTAGCATGCCGGGGGGGGGGGGGGGGGGGGTAGTCAAAATGAACGTTAACTTCAGCACTTTTCTTGAGTTATCGCTCTTGTTTTACGTAAAGCCTTTGCGGGGGGGAGTTATTAGTGGCCTCAATGTACATTATGAGTATAAGCCATTCAAATAAACTTGAGATCAATTCCTGGGGACTCGCCGGACAGCAGTTGGCTTTTCTGGGGTTTTTGTTTGTTCTAGCCTACAGCCTTGGGACTTCCTGGTGGTCTCCTTTTCAAGGGCTCTGCAGTGTGGACCCTGCTTTGCTCTTTGGGCCACGTGCTGTTTCCCAGACATCTCCTTTGGCTGCAGGGAAGGTAGACGGGGAAAGAAGAGAATTTCATTTAGGGCCTCCTCAGCAGCAGGCAAGGCTGGGATGTAATTAAGGTGCATTTATCTCTATTTGCCTAAAAAGGTCCATTAAAGGGACAAAATCCTTTTTAAAAACCAAGAATCACAAGCTCGCTTAATGTGTATCTTTAATTCAAGAAATTTTGGCAGGTGCCTTTTTTATTCTTTTAACTCTCCTATAACAGTGACTTAGGCTGGTTTTGTGCATTTATTGGGGCCGATATTTCTCAGGGAACGCCGCTTCCGTTATGTACCTGCTCAAGCCTTTTGGTGTCTATCCTGCCCCAAAAGACAGAACCGCATGAGGTCTTTTTGGTTATCAGGCAGCGAGATTTATTTTGTTCCAGGCATTTTTACCATTTTATCTTCTGTTTAATTTAAAGTAACCGTTCTACATAGTGGAATGGTGGATTGTATCATTCCCATAGAACCGCAATATCCAGAGTGCAAAAATTCATATGACTGGAGCATAACAAAGTTTTTGGTATCTCTTTTCTGACGTCTAGTTATCCAGGTTTTTGCAGCCCACATACGATCGCCTTAGTTTTCTCTCATATATTAATTGCATTGTTTTGCTTTTCGTCTTTTTTTTAAATGCTTTAGAAATTTTTAATGTTTTCACAACATTTGTAATCTATCTGGAGAAGAACAGCTATTGGACAGTTTAGAAATGTGAATGATTGTAATGATTTATAAAATGCAGTGGCTGGTTTATCACAACATGTAAAGCCAAACAAACAGTATTATGGATTAGAGTACAGTACTATGATATATGTAAATATAGCATAACCACATACCTTCCAATTAGTTTCAGAGTTTGGCAGGATATTTACCTGATACTCTGTTTTGAGAGTTTTGAATCTCTAAGAAGGAAATATTGGTTTCCAGAGGATATATCTGCAGCAAAATAAATGCATTTATGCATTTCTTTCTGTTAATCTCTGCTGTTTTTTCCCCCCAAGTATCATGCGTACGTGGCTGAAATGAGAAGTTTGGAGAAGTGTAGTCATTTGTGTTTCTGCTTCATAAAATTTAAAAAGCTTGGATTACCTACCGTATGAAATAACAGTTTTTTAAAATAAGGTGCTTACATTGCTTGATCTCAGATTTTTTTTACCAGAATGTTCATTCTCTGAAAGCTTCTAGATCTATAACACTGTGAGCTCTTTCTTGGATGTTAAATCCACTGGAGTCTGTGGGGCTTAATTCCAGAGAGACATTTAAGTTTCTCTGCACTGTGAGGCTGCAATTCTGTCTGCACATATGTAAGAATAAGATTTGTTGAACTCGGTGACTCTTTCTGAATAAATATGTCTAGGTCTGCACTGTAGAGATATCTACTTTGTAGCATTATGCCTCTGTATATTCTTAGTTGGTACAGTATTTCTGCAGGAGCTTATTTGAAGGATTAGGGCATGCAATTTAAAACATGTAAAACAATGGAAATTTAGGAGTTGCAGCATTTTTATAGTGTTTTAAACAAGCAACTTTTGAGAGCTTTAAGTACAGGGCATACTGTTGGTTTGGGGAGGCAGAATAATTTTGCAGTTGCTGCTTAAACTGAGATTGTACCGTAATCATATATAAACTTATTTGGGTGTTCCATAGAGGGTGTTTCTCAAATAATTCTATATATGAGTTATATATTCAGGGGCACGTTTTAAATACATTTAGAGTTGTGTTGAGTTACTTAGCAATTGGGTGGGTCATCAAATAAATACATAAATATTTATTCCAAATTAAGTTCTTACTGACTTATCTTGAAATTTGTGAACTTGCAGCATTGAACTGACAATTGTTTGGGTCCCCGTGTCGCACTGTTGTCTTTGCTTTGCCTCTAAACTTCACAGAGCTCGTTTGAGTGCTTTTGTTGAATAAATAATTTTTAGGAGTATCTCCAGTTTACTCCCTATCTTATCCGTTTCCAGCTTAGAGCAGCTCTGGGTGCTCCAGAAGAGTAACTTAATCATAATGTTGCATAGAAACCAGCTGAGCAAGGTATTTCAATTAAACATTTATCACTTAAATTAGACCCAAGTTGTTTTGTGTGTGTGCGTGTGTGTGCAATAAGCCACAAAAGATTTATGTCCCACTCCATGTCACGTGGCCTAAACCATTTGGCAAGAATGCGTGGGAGGCAGGAGAGAGAAGAAAAAAAAAATGATAATGAAAGCTGCATCATGAGAACCTGCCTTGGCTGAATCGGTATCCATCCTGGTCATGTTCTCTTGGAAGCTTATAGCCTCTTTTTGTGGAAGTAAACTAAAGTTGTTGGGATATTTCCAAGCAGGCAGGTGGATAATATGGTTTTAATTTATGACTCTTTTATCCCATGTTCTCCTTTCAAGAAGCCCAAGACATCATATATTGCTCCTTCCTTCCTTCCTCTTCAAAAAACACTCGAGAGTAAATTGAACTGCTAAGGGATAGTAGCAGGCCCAAGGCCGCCTAGTAAGCCTCATGCTCAGCAAGGATTTAATTTCTGGACTACAGTTCGGTTTGCTCTTTGTGAGTGATCTTCTTGCCTGCTTGGAACAGCATTCTTTGTGAGCGGTTGATCTGCCAGCGATGAGGGGCTGCATTTTCAGAAGGGCAGGCATCCTCTCTACTGATAAGTTTCTTTAGCTCTATTAAATCTGCATTCTGACTTCCCACTGATTACTGGATGCCACAAGCGGCTAGTGGAACAGATATGTATTATTTAGATATTAGAAGCTGATTGGATGTTTCATGATGGTATCAAGTTCATATTGTTGTTTTAACTGCAGGTTAGCATGAATATCTGCTAGTAGAAATTCAGGCCTATCCCTAGTCTAGGGTCAGCCGTAAGATCCCCCTTGTCTGAGGAAAGGGTGCTGATATCCTCCCAAAAGTTAAAAAAAAAAAAAAAAGGTTGATGTTGCCAGATCTTGCACAAATGCTCTTTAGAGTTTATGAGATTTTATCATTCTTGATTAGCTCTCTGGGATAGTTCACAGAAATCTTGGAGATTTCAGGCGTTTTTCGTGTGAAGAGGCCCTTGAGCCTAGCACTGAAAAAGTTATAGACCCTGTCCTTCGTCTGCTAGAGTGGATAATAACTGTTTTTGGGATTGATAATACTTATCAACTCCACAGTGGTTTCTTTAATCAAACCATTACACCCTTCTAAAGGTTCAACTTGTTCTCTTTCCTGTTATGGATGAGTGTGGGATAACATCTCTGTATCTTTCAAGGAGCTAAATTAACCGTTTTTACTTGCTTTCAGGGTATTCTCCATGCAAGTCACAGATCTACATCATTCACTGATGGGCTTTCAGCAGCTTCCTTCTCTGAGTACCCCAGGCACAAACCATTCATTAATGCTGACCTATGTCGATCCCCTGCCAAGCCGGTAATTGCCTATCCAGAGAGCAACAGCAAAGGTAATATTTCTACCCAGAGGAAATGGGGCTGTCGGGAATAGTTTTTACTTTATATGTAATCCTGTTCAAAACAATAAATCATCTTGAAAATGGTATTATCTTTCTAGGCCTTGGCATGCACTTCCCTTCTTTAAAAACTGCTGTATAAAATTTGAAGAAAGCTACGTATTTTTTGTGACATGGCTTAATAAAAATTGTGGCTCTTTCAGAAATGCGTTGGTAAATTTCTCAAGCACAGTATGGCAGCTTACTTGTTCCTGTCCACCAGAGGAACAGGCACTGCTGGTTCCCTTCCCTGAACACCCTCCTGGTCCCAAATGTGGTCTCTCAGTATCTCCTTCCCAACTCCAAGTAACTGCATAATTTCCTAGTCTCTGAATATTGGGTATAATCAGAAATTACAACAGTTATTACTGGCTCTCCATTCAGCCTGCAACCTCCATCTCAGGACTGTTTTTGCATGGCTTAAGCATCTGGCAACAGAATTGCAGATCTGATGTTACTGGTCACCTCATGCTTGGATTACTGTAATTTATTCTACATGGGACTATCCTTGAAGGGAGTTCTGAAGCTTCAAAGTTTAGAATGCAGCTACTTGCCTACTGACTGATTACTACCAGAACATCAGAGTAGCACCAATCTTGTTGGAGCTGCGCTGGTTCTCAGGAGCAGGCTGCCAGATCCAATTCAAGAGGCTGATTATCACCTATAAAGCCCTTTAAGGTTTGGGATGAGTCTCTCCATGCACTCCAGGCAACCCAAGAGGACAGGCTAAGAATCCTTCCCCTGAGAAAAGTCAGAGCGCAAACTAGGAAACAGCCCTTCTTGGTAGAGGTCCCCTCACGTTGAACCTCCAGAGATGCAGATGATTCCTTTCCAAAAGATGCCAAGACCCTATTTCCTCAATGGGCCTGCGGGGCAGAGGGTGCCACTTAGGTTGGAACAGCGTTTCTCAACTTTGGGAACTTTAAGATGTGTGGACTTCCATTCCCAGAGTATTCAGGGTGTTCTCCGTGCAAGTCACAGATCTACGTCATTCACTGATGGGCTTTCAGCAGCTTCCTTCTCCGAGTACCCCAGGCACAAACCATTCGTTAATGCTGACCTACATCGATCCCCTGCCAAGCCGGTAAATGTCTATCCAGAGAGCAACAGCAAAGGTAATATTTCTACCCTGGCTGGGGAATTCTGGGAGTTGAAGTCCACACATCTTAAAGTTCCCAAGGTTGAGAAACACTGGGTTACTGGGTTGGAAGCAGTCAAACCCGGGAGTGTGTTTTAGAGTGGCTTATGGCTTTCATTTGATTGTGAGCTGCCTAGAGTCCTAGGAGAAGGCAGCATATCAATTATAGTGAGTGAGTGAGTGAGTGAGTGAATGAATGAATGAATGAATGAATGAATGAATGAATGAATCTGGCCTAATTTTTGCACATTGTTTCTTCTTCCCTGACCTCTGGTTTTTTTAACATCTCGTCTGATGGAGATTGGTATTGAATTTTGATTTGGTCTAGTACAGGTATTGCCAAACTCTGGTGGTTAGTTTTTTGGTTGTTTTCTTCTCCTATAGATTAAAGTGACTGTGATTGCTGCTTATTAGCTGGAAAAAAAATTGCCAGGCTAGTATATATGTGTGCGTGCGTGTGTATACGATTGGTTGCTATAATGGACCTTTGGTGTTTAAAATAGTTGACATTGAAGCTGCTGTTGTGAATAGGTGTATCTTTTATGGGCATATATTAATTTTTTGCACTGTTCTGACACTGCATTTCATAAGGTGTTAATGTACTTTTGTTGTTCAGTTACAGGGATATAAATGAATAAACAGCATTAAATAGAATAAAGGTCCAGTTGGTCAAAATGTCTTGCTTTTTCATGCTTGCTTTTGTAGTAACTCTGCAATTTATATCTCAAAGCTGAGAAAGCTCTGAAATTAGGCTTAGATAAGGAAACAGTGTCTGTTCTGAAAAGGAGAGATAAATTATCTAGCACTTAATCTGAGACACAGGTTTGCCCAGCATAGGCATTATAAACCAGTATGACAGTCTCTTGACATTCAGGGAAAAAAAAACAGTCCCTGAAAAATTCCTCTGTGATACATGTAATTTTCCGAGATCTTACTAAAGCATTTTGTTTTTATAGCATTTATTCAATAATGCAGAAACAAATAACTGCCACTGCTTTCTCTGCCCCCAGCTATCTTGACTAGGGCAGAATGCCCTAGCTACCCTTTTGCCATAAAGCCTATAATTTATTTATCCTCTTAAACCTGCTGTGACTGGTTTACAAGTCTTCATTTAGATCAGTTTCCTGGTCCCTAATTGAAGTAATGCAAATATTCTACCAGTTATCATTTGTGCTGGAACCTAGTGGGAGAATTATATTTCTGTCTTCCCCTACTTTGAGCGTGTCCCTTGAGGGCCCTGAGTTCCAGGAAGCTGCATGGATTCTCATCATCCTTTATCCATTTGATCTGATGTGGCCTACTCATGAATGAGAGCAACCTTTGAAATCATAACTTCCTTACTTGGAAGCACTTGGGAATCTTTGAGCTACACGCATACCCCAGGACATTAATTACCTTCCCTTTTGGACTGGTTGCTGATAACCTAATTAAAATAGGATTATGCAAGTAAGGTTCTCTGTTGGCTGTTGTAGAGAAAAAGTGCTCCTGCTAATTATCAGTGACAATGACTTCCTTGCAGCAGTGCCAGCATGAAGAACTGAAGTCATACTTTGTTTACACCTCTCTATGTTCCTCTTAATTGCAGAGGCTCAGTTGCTCAAACATATCTGGCAATCTTTGTCTGGTATTAATGTTGTTATGTGAGAAGGTGTTCAACTTTTTTCAGACTGAGAGCTGCACTCCAAAAAGTGGGCAAGGCTGGGATAAAAGCTGAATTAGATAAAAATGTAACTCAGGTGTACAATATGTAGAATTACATTAAACTGATGAATTACCCTAATATAACATACTCTTCAAGGGTTTAATAACTTTTTCATTCTGTAAAAATTGTATTATTTTTTAATCATTTTTTCTAATGGTCCTTGTGAAATAAGTGAGACAGAGGAAAATGTGTCTTATGCTAGGCCAGAGTTTTTCAAACTTGGCAGCATTAAGATATGTGGAGTTCAGCTCCCAGAATTCCCCAGCCAGCATGTTTGATAGCTTGATAGCTGAACTGTCATTGACTTCTAGCCTTTGTACCCTTAAGTCCATCATCATCACCTGTACCCTACCAGCTTGCTAACTAATGGATCTAATTAAATTTGTTTATCTACCAGCCATATTCTCAGCTCTGAAGAACCTGCAGGAGAAAATACGACGGTTGGAGCTAGAACGGATTCAAGCAGAAGAGAATGTGAAAAGCCTGACCAGGGAGACCTCAGATTATAAAAAAGTGCTAAGTGAGCAGTTGCTGGAAAGAGAACAATCAAAGTTGCAAGTATCCAGGAAAAATGATGGTATATAGACATCTTTTTTGCTTGTCCACAAAACTTAGAATGGTGCATATACAAGGACAGATATTAAATGAGGCAGAGACATTTCCAGAAGCCGTGTCCCTAGAGAATCCATTCACTATATCTCTCCCAATTTTGGTTGCAATCAGCATGTATAACAACCATGTGTAGGTTGACTACTTCTATATAAGCAGGCACTGTAGCCAAATAGGATCCCTCCATGGGAAGATGTTCTGTCCATCAGTGCTGTACATAAGCTTCCTTTGCATAGTGGTTGAACTTGTGGCTTGCATGTGCAAATGAATGGCTGATGGCTATGACCTCACTGCTTTCCTCAAGTTGTTCCCTTTTTGAGTTAGGTAAGGAAGCTTGTAATGCCTCCTGTATGCTGCTCCAAAGTAGTCACATAGATAAATGTGAATCATTAAAGTATCGTGGATTGCAAGTAGCTCAGTGCAATATTCTCAACCTGTGGTTGAGGGATCTCTGGTGATATCTGATGCAGGCAACAAAATAAGAATACAGAGATGTTTGTTGGTTTGGTTCTTTGTGGCCATAAAGTCATGTTCACACAGATCGGGGAGGCACAATGGGGCCTGATTGTTACCTGACATCAATTGATCCTTGTCTCAGAGTAAGAAGAGAGAGAAAAAAGGCAGCATCAAAAGAAAAGTTGTTTAAAGGTGAATGGTTGCTTTAAGTTGGACAGAGGCTTAATACCCATCCCAAAATGGGAACAGTCACCTTGATTTGGAGGCAGCTAGGGACTTAAGGGGTACAAGGCATAAGATACAGAACCTATTTTGCCCTTAAAATTCCTGAAAAAGTGTAAAATGCTTTGGCCCTAAATACTATGGGGAGGCTCTGAGTCCATCCAACTCCAACTGTAAAAGAAATTCCACAGAAAAGGGCAAGTTGTCTTTCAGGGCAGCTTATCTACTATTACACATTTTCTTATTGACAAATTTCTGAGAATCTTTGGAAAAATGTTGAGAATCACTGTGATGAAAATATACCATTCTGGAAAGCTGCAGCTAGGATTGAGTGTTCTCTGACTGTACAGCCATAACATCTTATGGAATTGGAATGCATAGACCAGTTCCAAAAGCAGTCTAGTTACCAAGATACCCAATTGTATCATGCTTGCTGAGGAACTGGCAGACTTCTCCATCAGGTTGTCATTAATCAGCCTTTGGCCAAGGCAAGTATGTGATGAGGTTCAACAGGACCTTGTTCTCCACATTCTCTTTCTGTTCCACACTGAGAAGCATTTGTGGCTGGTCTGAGCGCCTTGGGTGTGAGTGAAAGGTACATAGGTCTGCTGGATATACCTGGATGTATACTTCTGGTTCTTGACACATCACTGGATGTTCAAGTTGGATATTTCTAGTCTTCTCACCTATCTGTTGGGGGCTTCTGGTTTCAAAGAGCCAGTCCTATATCTAAATGCAGCCATTGGAACAGTCTCCTTAGGACCCATTCTTTGTTGGATCTGTAGCATGTCTTCTTGTTCTTTGTTTGAAAAAAAATTGCTTTTAAAGAGGAGATTTGCAGGAGCCAATCTGTCTGGTTCATGTGAAACTTCATAACAATGTTAGCTAACTTTCTTTTGCTGCACGGCCTCCAGAGTTGGCAGCACAACTGGCAGGAGCCGAGACTCGCTGTAGTCTTCTGGAGAAACAGCTGGAATACATGAAGGAAATGATAGCACAGGCAGAACGCGAAAAGACGACTGTCTTGGAGAAACAGGTACATGGGCCTTATTAGTTGTAGCCAACCGTTTATGATCATTCTAGCCCTGATCGGTAGGTTCTAGAAAAGTTGCCAGTTGCCACAACATCTTTTAAAGTTTCCTAGTTTACAGAATTTGCTGTTAGACCATTTGTCAAGGCCATCAGTTGAGCTGGCTTTAAGGGGAATCAACGATTGGGGGAAGGTAGGTTGTTAGTCATGATTACCTCCAAAATCAGAGAAAATTAACCCAAATGCTAGCTTTAGAGAACAGCAACTTTCATACAGCTGCTGGACTCAGTAGACCAGCATTTCCCATTATAGACATCCTCCAAATCTGTGGATTTTAATTTTCAGGATGAGCCATGATGGCTGGAAAATGTTGGGAACGGAAATTGTAGGGTGCAAAGATATTCTTGGAAATCAGGATGATGACTGAAGGAAACTAAAAAAATAAATGACAAGGGAATCTGGCAGACGTTGTGTTGTATACCCCTGGAGTATATTAATACTCAGACTATTGGGTAGCACTCCAGACTGCAGAAAGAGCGTCCTAGGATTCTCTCCTGCACATAATACCTGTTTTCTTTCTTACAATCTAAAACTATGGTCTACGAACTGCTTTATTACTTCTCTCATATTGTCCAAAGATAGTCCCCTGACTAAAATATCAGTGTTTAGCTGTAGAATAACATGTTTGAAGCAAGGCTCTTGGAAACATTTTTCCTATGTCCGAAGTTTTTTTTAAGCCTTTGCTCTTTTTAGAGAAATACAACAACTAGCAATTGTGGTTGATTTTTTTTTTAAACTTCCCTCCTTTTGTGACATCAAGTGGCAGAATGCAATTCAACTGGGCCAGCTCTTTCTTCTCCATGACACAAAGAGCTGTGTTTTCCTCCTCTTTTTTCCAGGCCACGTTGGAAAGGGAGAGGATTGTTGATCACTCCCACGTGAAGTCCAAGTTGGAAAGGTTGGATCTGCTTGAGAAAGAATACACCCGTCTTACTGCAATGCAGTCTCTTGCAGAGGTGAGACCTGGGGTTACGCTCATTGTGGATTGCAAGGTTTGTAGTAATGTAATCCTCCACCTTTTATCATATGTGTGATTTTGCTGGTAGATTTGTATATAGCAGCCTTCTCAACCTAGGCACCCACAAGATATACTGACTAACTTAGAATTCTCCGTCTAGCAAATTCAGTGCTGAGAAGTTTGGGAGTTTGCAACTACACACACCATGAGACTCCCAAAGGGAACACTGCTATAACAGGTCTACACCAGGTGCAATCCAGTGATTCAGGGAAGCTGATTTCTCAGGAGTGACAGCCAATGTGGTATACTGGTTAAGGTTTTGGACTGGGAGAAAGGCCCAGATTCAAATCTATACTCTGCATGGAAGTTCACTGGTGATCTCATGCTAGTCACTCTCTCTGAGCCCAGCCTACCCCCAGGGTTCTTGTGGAGAACAAACTGGAGGAAAGTGTCCTATATACATCATTTTGATTGTCTGAAGGCAAAGTGGGATATAAATCAAGCAATAAATAAATAAAGTGGATAAAGGATTGCAGCCACCTTATTTTTTTATCTCAAGACTGATAAGCATTTTTGTGATGATTTGTTTGCTTTTTACAAACTTCTTAAAGGTTTTTGACTAGTTGTTGTTGAAAAAAATATTCTGAATTTTCTCTGAACTTTTTCAGGTTGGAGGTTCTGTTGCAGGACTACCAGCCTGTTCAAGGTGCCTCTTCTTTGTTCAGTCCAGGAATTTTTTAAAAACAAATTTCAAATTACCTTTTGTCCCATATTTACTTCTGGTGGTCTCCCAAATCTTAATTTTCTACATCGTGATTTTTTGGGGGTTTCTTTTTCTTGCTGCAGCTGTTTTTAAACAGTTTGGTGGCTGCAACTCTTTGCCTAATCATAGCAAGATCTAGTAGTAGATTCCCAGTCAACCTTCTACCAGCTCCTGTACCAGACAGAATCTTGGTCTGAGTCAGTGGGGTCTTTCTGTGGGTTTTTTAAAGATTTTTTTATCCTGTCTTTATTATTTTTATATAACTCAAGGCAGTGAACATACCTAATACTCCTTCCTCCTCCTGTTTGCCCCACAACAACAACCCTGTGAAGTGAGTTGGGCTGAGAGAGAGGGACTGGCCCAAGGTCACCCAGCCGGCTTTTGTGCCTCAGGCGGGACTAGAACTCGCAGTCTCCTGCTTTCTAGCCCGGTGCCTTAACCTCTGGAACTGAGCTCTCAGTGAGCAGATCAGAGGAACATTTCCTTGCAAACAAATATATCTGTAGTGCCCTCTGTCTTTGAAAGCTGTTGCTTTGATACCTTATCTGTTTACCTTTTTTATGGGGGGGTTGTGTGTAAAATTGGTTGTTTTGTACAACTATAAAGTAGGCTAGACTACTATCTTTCTTAAAGGAGAGTCAAGATTAGGATTTGGAATGGCCACGTGGCATCCCACCCAGTGTGGTATAGTGGCAGCAACATTTTGCTCAAGATTATCTTGCTTTAATTTGTTTACGTAGAAAAAAATGAAAGAATTGGAAGAGAAGCTCCAAGAGGAAGAACGTGCTCGGAAGCTGGTGCAGGAAAAAGCTGCCGAGGTAAATCTTATTCACGTGGGCTGTTGTCCTACCAATGAGATACTCCTGCCTTTGTTGAGGAAGTGATTGTGTGGATCTGGGGAGGTTCTGGTTGCTTCAGAAACACAAGGGGCCATGAAATTATCCAATTTGCATAAGGTTTAAGTATCTGAACAGTCAGGCCAACAAGTAGGACGTAGACTACAGATGCTTTCTTTGGAACACAGCACAACCATATTGTGTTGAATATTCACATTCAGGTTTGTAGGAAAGAAGAGTCCTCCTCTAGGTTTTGCACACAGATTCCCCCAAACAACACATAGTATATATATTTGTTTATTTAATAATGCAATTCCTTAATATCAGGTCATGGAGCAGTAGTTCACTAGTTACATTCTAGGCTGAGTCACTTACTGTGCTAAGCCATAGTTTGTTTAACAAAGGAATAAACCAAAAAATTGGGGTCATACAACACATTAAGCTGAAAACACAGTATGATATTTGTGTTTCATAAGTCCAGTCGACCCAAATGCTCCTAACATTCTGCTACCATTTGGGAGAAACAAGACTTTCAATGGTAATAAAATAGAGAATTTCCAGCTCTCCGATGAACATCTAACAAGCAACAGGAAAGAGGAATTGGGGTGCTTTTACCTTTCTCTTCCCTGCAGCTTTTCTACTGTATACCTTCCTTCCCTCTTTTCCTCCAGTTAATGTCCCACATGCCTGATTGGGAGAGAAATAACTCTGGAATTCAACCTCTGTAGAATACCGCTTCTAGCGATCCAAATTGATGAGCCAAGGAAGGATTTGTTTCTGGATTGGTCCATCCCCAGTGTCAGGTTCTGTTATTGTGACTGAAAGAATAAAATAATTCCCAGACTTCTCTTGGCAGCTTCAGACAGGATTGGAGACAAATAGAAGGTTGCTGAAGGCCCAAACCCAGCCAGCACCAGTCTTGATGCCTTCAAAATCAAAAAAGATGAAAAAAAAACCAAAGCAGCTGGAGAAGGTAGGTTGAGGCTACTTGCTTGCAATCTTATAAATACTTGCTTGGGAATCTTGCTGAACTCAGTAGGATTTACTTCTTGGTAACACTATTGTTAGATTCATGAAATAGGTTTATTACTGATTATGCATTAATGAATTGTACCCAAGTCTACTTGAGTTTAGAAACAAAAGGGACAAGTAAGTCATGACTATTTTAATCCCATTGGTATCAATAAAATATCACAATTCAATTTCAAGAGGTCGGTGCCCCCCCTGAAAAAGTACTGTTCATAGTGGATTACCTGACACGTTTCATTCACCAGTGGCCTTTGGATCAAGGGCTCAGCTGACTAATGGCACGTTCCACTGATTTGATGTGAAGAAGGTCATGCTTGGAATACCTGGGCCCTAAAATAATGTGGAGCTTTAAAGGTCAAACCTGACACATTAAGTGGATCCTCAAAAGAGACCCAACTTGGCCTGTAGGTAGGTGTGATACCCAAATAGAGCTTCCATACCTTGGGGTAGTGAGATCTTTTAGCAAGGAGACAAAGAATGATTGGAGCATCGCTTTTGCATCCTTGTTTTGAACTTCTGAAAGAACCTGCCTAGTAGCTGCTGGAAACTGAGTGCTGGAATAGATGGTTTGGTCTCATTTAACAAGGGCATTTTTGCATTCTTAAGTTCTGTGAAGGATGATAGGCATTTTACATATTTCACAAGGATGATATATATAACCTGAGCCCTTTACTTATAAACAAGGTGGCTAGCCATACAAATCTGTTTAAGAGCACATTGATTCTCATGATTTCCAGAACGATAGCATTGAGATTATCTAGACTGTTAAGCAAAGTATAATCAAATACCCTTAGTAAGTCTTTCACTGGATAACCAAATGCAGTGATCTTTATGGCTTCATCAATTTCAGTTGTTCAGGAATGAATCAGCCAGAAACCCCCTAAATTAGAGTATCTAATAGCATTTCAAAAAATGAAGGCACAGCTCACTATTAGATTCCTGCTTTGAAGAGGCTGCCCAAGTAATGGGTTCTGGCTCTTTGGGGATAGTTCCTTGTCCTAGCTGGATGTAATTCTTCCAAAAGATACAGACAAACATCACCTTAAATTATTTTTCCACCTCTTATTATAAGAAACATTCCTTTTAAAACAAACACTAAAAAAACCCACTCCTGTTTCACCAAGTTCTTAAGAAGCAGCAATGGTTTATATTATGTTATTAGTCTGCTCTCAAGTCTTTAATACAAGTGTGAGAGACCTGAATGATCTCATTTAATTACCAGCTTTATGTATTTCATGTGAGCAGAATTGGATCTGGCATAATTTCTTCTTTTGAGAAAGCTGCTTCTCTCTCCCTTAGAATGACTTGGGAATGACCCACGTCCATGCACAGCCCCACTACAGGCTACGATTGGGTGATGTGCCATTTGTTGCTGGAAAGGTAAAGAAGCATTATTTTCAGAGCCCTGATCACTCAGTGCTGTCATAGGGAGCGCACATGGGAAAGGGTGGCTGCTTTCATTAAATTCCTATAGTCATCCCAGAAGTATCTTGGTAGTCATTCTTGGAAGAGAATGTGGAATGAAATGGATCTCTGTTCTGACCTTAGTTCTGAACTAAGAATGCTGCTGATTATGCAGGCAAAACTTCAGTACCCAAATACAGAAGGGAGATTTCAGCAGGCTTTTTGTTGGTTGGGGGACCAGAAGTTCTCCAGATGTTGAGCGGTATAATTTGTGGCATTCCTCATTGGCCATGCTGTTTCAGGCTTCTGGTTATAGCCAGAGGGCCCAGAAAGGAGTGAGGGAAAAAAGAGGGTACAAGGGAGAAAGAGATTGGAAAATGGGGCTTGAAGGTGAGAAAACGTGGACTCATCAATTAGCTGGCATGCAGCCCCCTGCAGATTACTTGAAGGACAATCCAACCTTAGACAGGTCCGCTCTTTTTTTTTAATGATTCTAGTCCTCCTGGCAACAACGCCATCAGACACAAAATTGAGCACAAGGCAGAACTGTTCCTAAAACAAACCTGGAAGTACGCCACTGATTCCATTTGTGCATTTTTGTCACATATTTGAAGTAAATAGATTGGTTCAGGGTAGGAAAAGGGACTTAAAATTATGTGTTAAATTTTCTTGGCCCCTTTAGCCTACTGTATGATTTTTATTAGGTGGAGTTGAGCCATCGTTCTCAAGATACTGCATGTTAATGGAAAAGGGACATACTTATGTTTTTGTAGAATTCAGAAGCTTCTGACTGTCTCTTTTCTTTTTTAAAGGATCCCAAACAGAAGAGAGGGAAGATCTTGAGCTCTGGGAGCCACTGACATTCAGTGTTGAAAATGGTGGGCTTAGGTCAGGATATTGAACTCAGGGCTGCACAGGGCTTTGGGTGCCATGCCAAGGCTGCGCTTCAAACTGAGTGGGGCCTCTTTTTATTTTTCCTTAATTTTTTCTTTTGCAGGATGTGTTAGTAATGGTTAGTAATTCCATCCTCAAAAATGAGCCTCACCTTATCTTGGTTCAAAGACAGTGACTTTTTTCCCCCTTAAAACACTGCAGTCCTTTTTGAAGTAATCACCATCAAATGGGGTCCAAAACTGTTGGCCCTCCACCCATTTGGGATTTTATAGTGGGGCAAAGTTAACGTTGTTAAAAGATGTCGGTCTGTTTGGTCTGTTCAATATATAACCTTCGGGCTCTTCATTTCTGCTCTCCATCGTTGCCTCAGTCTACCAGCCCAAGCCACTCAGTCACCGCCAATGTGCAGCATGTGCTCCACCTCATGAAGCATCATTCGAAAGCCCTCTGCAATGACCGTGTGGTCAGCGAAGTCCTGATGAGTAAGCAGATGAACAAGGGCAGGAGATCTTCTGCATCTTCCATTTCTTCCACGTCCCAAGGAGACCTTTCTGAGGTGCTTCTGACATTACAAGATGAGCTCGGGCAAATGAGTTTGTGAGTCAAAACTCTCATGCAAATGTTCACCTTGTGATCCTTTTCTGAGCATATCTGTGTTTATTAGATAGCGGTCCAGCAAGCATGTAAACCATTTCAAGAGCTTTGTCAAAGGCTTTCATGGCCGGAATACGATGGCTGATGTGGGTCTTCCGGGCTGTGTGGCCGTGTTCTGGAAGTTTTGGTTCCAAAAAAACCCTGCCTAACCCCCAGGAAGATACACACATACGCTGATCACAAAAACAAGCAGCCACTCGTTAACCCACAACCCCCCCCCAGGCACCCCCGCTCATCTCTATAAATACCCACAATGGGGTCACATCATCCTGGGCACAGAGAGAACTGCTCCTGTCTGTGCTCCTGTCCTCTGAAGATGCCAGTCACAGATGCTGGCAAAATGTTAGGAACCAAAACTTCCAGAACACGGCCACACAGCCCGGAAGACCCACATTAGCTATCATTTCAAGAGCTCTTTGCAATCCTATGTTTGTTTTTTTGGAAACAAATCTGGTGATGCTCTCTACTTAAAAGATATGCATAGGATGCTGGTATACCAGGAAAAGACAACTTGTCCAAATGCAGTGTGTGTATCTGCCTCATAGCTATTGGGGGTGTGCTATGGAGAAAATTTCATGATACTGAATGTGAAACTCCTGCTACGAGTGAGAAATTGGCTGTTTTAGGCATTTGGGAGGTGTTCCAAATTTGAAACTCTTACCAAGTGCTTAAAACTGTACTCAAAAGAGGATGTTTCATGAAATTTCATGTTTGCGATTTTGCATGCTCTTACTCTCTGTCCATGTAGCCAGCTATCTATCATGCAGTGTCATGGGCTTATATATCTTTTGGCCTTCAGTCAGAAATGTATGGGTAAAATTTATATCACCTTGCTGAAAATGTATTCTAAATGTGCACATTCTCTTCAGTCAGAATGTAGGAAGCTGGGGAAAGGGGAGAGACAGAAAACCTGAAATTGACGCTCCAAAGAAGAAAGAGCATATGGTGTGAATGGCCACTGCAAGATAGGAAAACAAGTTTGCCCCACTCTCAAAGAGCCTCTATTTATGTTGTATTCATTGATCATTATACAAGACTTTCAAACTCCTTAAGGCAGAAGGTCAAAATATGAAATATCTTCTATCATTTCTAAACATTGGTACGAGACAGTGCCTCCCTATGTTCCTCTCCCAATCTTTGGTACTGGCTCACATGTTTCTTCCAGGATTTGAGAAAAAAGTATAGGCAGAAAAATGATGGATTTATTTTGATCTTAGTCTTAATCATTCTTGAAGTCTCCCTTCAAGTCCAGTCATCTGTGTTGCTTTTCTTGGCAGCAGTGTGGAACATCATGGCCTTTCACCAAAGCTCTTGCTATCCACGCAATATGAACAAGCAAGCAAGACTCCAAAGCCATGTGTTTTGCATGGAGAAATGCAAAATGCGGTTTAAAAATTTAATAAATAAATAAAATAAAATAAATAAATAAATAAATAAAATAATGATCTCAGTCTAGTTTTCAGGGGTCAGAGATATTGGAGTTTAGATATTAATGTGGAGCTAGCTAATTATCTGACATTGTTGGAGTTGCCTGGGTACTGCAAAACCTTCATCTGAGGTCACTTTAGTATACTCTCATCTGCCTTGTGGGAAGGTCCATTTGATAAGGTTTTGTGGAAGGAATGGATGTGTTCCAAGTAGTTCAGCAGCACTTGAAACTATGGGCCCTGTCAGACTATGCTGCAAATTTTATAGGGATATATGAAGTAAGCTTACTTTACCCATTTGATCAAATTGTCCAGATCATCTAGAGAAGTTCTGTAGCCCCCTTCTGTTACCAGGCAGACCCTCAAATATTATGCACAATGTGGCCAAATTCTATGCTGCAGCAATGTAAAGCCTGATGTGGGATAATATGGGCTCTTTATAACATTTAAAAAAATTTAGCGAATCTGGTTGCAAAGTCAATCTGCTTGACTTTGATCTTGACATTGTGCTGCTTAGAATTGTCTTTGTTTTTCATATGGTTTATTTTGATGTTGCTGATCTTTGACTATGATCATTCGTTCAATAAAGTGGTTTTTTCCCAGGATTTTTTTTTACTTAGAGTAAGCTTTAGTGTTCCCTGGAGGTCTTCCAAGTACTAATCTGACCCTGTAAACTTTTGAGTTCAATAAGATGGGCCAGGTACTATCAATGAATTTAAAAGGACTTCCTCCTAGGTGTAATGTTTAGTAGTTACATATGTTAAAATTCTGCTTTGAATAATGTTACAAGTTTTATCTGATTTAATTCCAAGTAGACAATGATTTAAGAGTCCTGGATGGCCAACTTTTTTTGGCTTGGTGGCTGTACTTTGTCCTTGCATTTTGTCTGGCAGTTGCAAGGGACATGGTTGATGATGTCATAACATTACTGGACTTGGCAGAGCATCTCAGGGACTGTAGGATTGTTCTGTTTCCTTGCTTCAAAATCAGAGCTGCTGCTTCAGTTCTGGAAGGAGGAACCCATGCCAAATTTCCCTTTATGCCAGCCTCCAGGGAAGTTTCTTGGAGGTTTTAGTGTTGGGAAATACTACAAGGTGATCATGTTGGATTAGGTGGAAAAAGAAGCAGTAGATCCTATTCCTTATTTGCTAATCTCTTCTGAAAACGCTGGACTCTTCTGACATTGGAGTACTCCAAGGCAATAGTAGGATTGCTCTGTGAAAAAAACTTTTTTTTGTTCCTATTAGCAAAGTGAGTCTGAAATATATGTATTAAAGAAATTAATAATCAGCTATTTTTTGCCTTCTGTTCTGTTTGTTTGTTTTGCATATAAGTGAACACCAGCATTTAGCAAAACTCATCCATGAAGCTTCAACAATTGCCTTAAGGGGAGACTTGGAGAGGGAGTTGGAAGCGCTGGTGAAAAGGATGGAGGCCAAGGCTGAACAAATCAATAAAATCCAAAGACATCGAGCACGGGTGAGTTACCCTGATGACTACTTTCAGGCCCTATGAAATCATTGGAGGGTCAGTTTGATGTAGTGGATAAGGCACCAGGCTAGAAACTGGGAGACCATGAGTTCTAGTCCTGCCTTAGGCATGAGGTCACCTGGGTGACCTTGGGCCAGTCACTCTCTCTCAGCCCTAGGAAGGAGGCAATGGCAAACAACTTCCAAGACACCTTGTCAAGAAAACTGCAG